ATTTATATATATTTTATAAAATTTGTCGTGCCGAATAGGCAGAATTGGATCTTGGGCTAAAATAGCAAGTTCACTTGCCATAAGGACAAGCAAAAATTTGTTATGCAAAAATTTCCCCAAAAAATCATTCTAAACCCAACGAAAAAAATATATTTCACTGTGTTTGTTTAGTATTAAATTATTGTAAACTTATATAAATATATTTATTTGGGGTAAGGCAAAAAATAAATTGTTCTTGTTAAAATAAGGTTAGGTAAGTTTTCAAAGATTTTTTTTTTTTTTTGGTGCAAAATTAAAAATTTTTTACATTAACTTTAATGAAAAAATATATCTTTAAAGTATAAGAAAATTTTCAGAAAAAACTTAATTTTAAATGAGTTCTTAAAATTGCCCAGTTTTACATTTTTGGGCACGACAATATTATACATCCTGCCCCGGGGAGAATATATTTTGAACATATGTGAATTTCCCAAATTAATAACAAAAAGGGGAGAAAAGAATTTGAAACGGGACAATAAAAACAAAAAAATGTAAAGTGACAAGGGGGAAAATTTGCCCTCATGGGAAGGGGTCCCCAAAGGGGGTCCCCCAACGATCTGTATTTTTTTTAATGTATACTGTTTATTTAATGACTTAAAGAATAAACAAAAAATTATTAAACTAGTTTAAAATAAATCAGTGACCACACCCCTGATACATTTTTCAGTAAGCACAGAAAGTTGGAAAGTTGTATTATTACGAAGAGGAAATTACTACTTAAAAACCAACAAAAAGAGTCTGTGCCAAGAAGAGGTTATCTGTGGGGATGAAAATACGCGTCGTCCAACTTAATTGAATGACTATAAATGTTATAATTTTTCTCTCCACACCAGATTTGTAGAGGACGAACAGTATATCGGGAAAAAAAAAAGGTAACGAAAAAAAAAATAAACTTATTGCTAAAAATTTTAATCTCTCTCTCTCTCTTCTCTTCTCTCTTCTCTAATTAGTACTCCTTATCCCTACATGGAAAATTTACTTAGACTGTAAGAAGGTCTGACAGAGTAATGTTCAAGAACGGCCAAAAAAAGTAGAGGGCAGAAAAACAGGAAAAGCACGAAAATGGTCAAGGCATATTTGACGGGAAGGAAAATAACCTGTGTGGTCGGTGCGAGGGTTCAGAATTGATGCATTTGACGAGTGAGGTTCCACTAAGTCATTTCTTGGGGCCCGGGTGCTTTTTCTTGTTACGTAAATGACATGACGAATGGACAGAGTAGAGGGTCCCTTCCAAAACCCTTTCACAAACTTTTCAACTTTCCTCAGAATTTTCCTGAAAGCACAATATCATCAGCAAAAAGCAACTGTGACAACTCCCATTTTGTTTAGATTCTATAGTTTAATCCCTACCTGTTCCCAAACCCGAGCTTCATTCTGTTACAACCAATCTATTAATATGTTGAACAAAAATGGTGACGAAAAACGCATCCTCTTTTAAAGGGACATTTTTATGGGAAAAAATCCCCCTCTCCTACATATCAAACTTGACCCCATTTCCCCGTAAAGGCTCTTAACTGCTTTCAGAACCTGCACATCTATGCCACACATTTTCACATCTGCCACATGATTCCCTATCCACCCTATCATATGCTTTTTTCCAAATCCATAAATTAAAGAAAACCTTTTCTCTTTTCTAAAACTGTTAACGTATGCTCACTGTAAACACTTGGTTACCACCCCCCTTTTTCCTAAAGTCTCCTTGTTATTGCTATCCTATTGTTTTACATTATTCTTTCAATAATGACTTACCATACACTTTATCAGGTATACTCGACAGACTTATATCCCTAAATTTTTACATCTCTTTTGTTCCGTTGTCTTTTAAAAAGGGAAATATGCAGCTCATGCCAAACCCTAGGGACCTTACCCTCTTCCATAATTTTTTAAATAAAAACATAACCACTCCCAAAGATATATCCTCACCTGCTTTTAAAATTTTTTCTTATTCCCTCAACCCCCCCTGCTTTACCCCTTTTCATTCACCTACTGCTCCGCCACCCCATACAATTTCTGGTCTTCCTCCTCAACAAGATGTTATACTTCCCTGTCCAATAAAGGGGAAATATAACTCTTGTAGAAAGTTAGCGTCCTTCCCCCTTTATCAAATTGCATCAAATATGGTTCCCTAAGCATCGCATTCAAAGTTTCTCAAAAAAATTCCCTCCCCTTCTCGTATTCCACCCCTCCATTTAAAAACTTCCTTCAATTTTTAACTGTCGATCCATTTTTTTTCCCCAGGCTTCTTAAATTATTATTCACTCAAAATTTTTTTTTTATTCAAGCAAAATTTTTTATAGCATCTCCCCCCCTCACTCTCTTTATTTGCCCCCTTTTACTTCCTTTAAGACTATCTTAACCCCTTATTTCCCCTCCATAATCTTCCCTTCGTATTTTTCTCTTTATAAAAAACCTCCCCTATATGCTTTTTTTTCTTTTTTTCTCCTTAATCATCTTCCCCTAATCGTTCTTTTCCCCCCCCACTCACTTTACCATAACCCACACTTCTGCTAAACACCCAAAATTATTCTAAATCTATCCAACCCTTTTAACCCCATTACCTATATTCTTACTATCCCCTCTTTTTCCATATTATTTATGTCTTACCCCAATGCCTCCCCCTTGTTTATAAACCCTCATCGACTTTTACTTGTGATGCCATTTCCTTGTACTCCCTCTACCCCTTTTCTCTCGCGTAGCTGCAACTAAAAAATTATCTGTTATCTGTGGCCCCTTTTTGAACATTTAAACCTGAAGTTACCATCTTCTTATCTATTATAAATATCCGACAAACTACGTCATTATGCCTTATATTCTTGTTACTTCCCTTTTTTTAATATGTTTATCTATTCCACACCCCCTTTTTTATGAAAAGCTCAAATTTAAGGTGCCCTTATCTTTTCACCTGGACCCCAAATTACCCCCATATCCTCTTTAAACCCTTTTCCAACTTTGCATTCACGTCCCCCACACAACTACTCCTCACTTGGTTCAAAAATTCCCAGACACTCGCTTTTGCACTCCTAGAATCTCTCTCTCCCTTTTTCTCTCTCTTTCCCCTTCTCTCCTCCTCTCTCCTCTCCTCTCTCTCTCTCTCTTCTCCCTCCTCTCTCCTTCTCTTCCTCTCTTCTCTCCCTTTTCCCCCTCCTCTCTCTTGTTACATCCTCTCTTCTCCCGGGGCATAACACTTTTTATATCCCCTTTTTTTCATCCGACCCTTTTTTAATCCCCAAAATCCTTGAATTATTCATTTAATTCCCTTTCTCCTTCCTAACTGATCCTTCAAATATTTTGCCCTTTCCTTACTCTAATCTCCAGATACTCCCCGCCCTGATCCCCTTTATTTTTTCCCACGAAACTCCCCTACCCTCCCCATTTTTGTTTCATAGGCTAAGATATCCAACTTCTTTTAATTATAACATTACCATTCACCTCATTTTATCATCTGCATACTCAAGCATATTACCGGAATACACCTGGGGGGTGCTGGGGGGCAGCGCCCCCGCGGCCCGGTCCAGGACCAGTCCTAGTGGTGGAAACAGGGTTTCATCAACCAGGGTTTTTACCGTGGCGCAAACCGTAGTTTCCGACTCTGGTTCCTGTCCAGGGCCCCCGCCTTGCTAGTTGTCTTTTGGTGTACTCATGGGGACCCCGCTTTTTATATGGGGGATGTGCCCACTCTTTACTTTCATGGGAGTGATTTCGAGTAGGTTTGAGATAGCCTTCTAAGTTTTTCCAAGTGTTATTATCAAGTATCTTTTTCACCTGCGTTCCAAGGGTAAAGGGCAAGGACCTTTAAAATTTTCCTAGTAATTTGGTGTTTTTTTAGAACCCTATGTGCAGTGAAAGTTTCTTAATTTTCCAGGTCTGCGTTTTGAAGGGGCTCATTTCCTCCTATCATTTTCCGCAAAATTTAAAAAAAAAATTTTTTGTGATTTTTGAAAGAAAAAATTCACTTCAAGGTCCTTCATATTAGGTTTTTTGCCTATTGTGTCTTAGAATTTTTTTTTACTCACACCAGCTTTTGTTTTCCTCGAGTTTTTCCTAGAAGTAATTGATATTTGCCTTCATTGAACTTCATTTGTTTTTGAAGCCATTTATAGACTTGGGTTTTTGTCAGCTTGGAGTTTGCGGTTCTCAGTGGGGACCTGTTATGAAAATTCTGGTATTATCAGCAAAGGAGGACACGGTACTGTGACTTAAATCTCTGTCTATGTCAGAGATGAGGATGAGGAACAGGGTGGGTACGAGTACTGTGCCTTGTGGAACAAAGCTTGTTAATGTAGTCGCCTCTTGAGTTTACTCTGTTTATTATTACTCCTGTGTTCTACACACAGTCAAACATCCCACCTTTATAAAGTCTTTTCTAAGTTTTATTAATTTACACAGAAGGGGTTAGGAGCCCATTGCTCCCGGCATTTTAGTCGTCTCCTACGACACGTATGGCTTATGGAGGAAAAATTCTTTTCCACTTTCCCATAGAGATGAAAGGAAATAGATAAGAGCAAGAACTGCTTAGAAAATAGAAGATAATTCGGATCTGTGTGTTGACATTTACGTGTACACGTCTACGTAGTGTGACCTGAGTGTCAGTACAGATAGGAAGACGTACCTGATTTCTTCCTTATTTATGTGTCAAACAATTAGAGGTTTTCGTTTCACACACATTTGGTAGGTACGGTAATATCTCCCTGGGTGGTTGCCGTCTACTAACCTGTATGTGTACTCATCTAATTGTGATTGCAGGGAGTGTGTGTGTGTGTGTGTGTGTGGTCAGACACAGAATGCCACATGGTACAGAACTGGGGAAGGACTACCATAATTCCGCCCCTTGTCCAGCCACCAAACACACAACCCGCCCCAAACTTAACCACAGCTCACGCAAGACTCACAGTCTTTGCACCAGCTTATCGGTCAGTCGATGATAACATTGTTCAAGTGGCGTGTCACACGGATTTTTGTTTACTGTTAGTCAGCTGATGGGAGGCGTAATTGTGACTGCCATATCAACTCTCGCCTTTATATAGTGTCGCTGGATCTGACACTGGCACTCAGAGTCCATTGGTCGTCTGATCACTGAGCTCCCAGTATTCCTGTTGCCCAGGTGTTTGCAAAAATTCAGGTGAGTGTATGTGCATGTGAACGAGCAAGGAAGAAGACCCATCTCTCATTACTGTTGTTTCTTGGTAGACTGAACGTAAAACTTGAGTGAAACATTTAGCATCAATTTTAATATAATCTGCCGATCACTGAAGATTCCACGCGTCGTGTTACACTACATTGACTCTCAGTGAAAGAAACTGTTGGAATCCTCATCTTCCCTAGATTAAACCTGATTGTTTCCCATTTACCAAAGAGATGTATGATCTCTACAGGTTTAACTCTTTCCCCGTAAGAGCCTGTGGTTCGATTCCCGGCTCAGGTGAAACGTTGTGCACGTTTCCTTACATCTGCTGCCTCTGTTCACCTAGCAGTAAGTAGGTACCTGGGTGCTAGTCGACTGTTGTGGGTCGTATCCTGAGGGGTAGTATTATACCTTAGATAGGGCTGGCCTTTGAAATGAGCTAAGGTAATTTAACACTTCTGAACCTGTAAAAGTGATCCGTGTAGGAGAAAAAAATAGCATTCCTCGTTTTCTGTGTTTGCTCATTTGAATATATTATGGTAAAAATTCGATATTTTTCCAACTCTAAAAGTGGTACTATCAATACTGATTATTACTTATCTTGTATAGAAAACGAAGTCAATTATCTTATCGAACACTTGACATGTTGACAGCATAATACCGGTTTGTCTTCCTTCTCAAAAAAACGATATGATAAGCAAGCGAAGGGTTAACCCAACTCCCGCACTGTTACCTCAGCAGGCATGGCGATGATGCGCGTAGCAGCGTTGATGGTGTTGCTGGTGTGCCTCGTCCAGGGACGAGTGAGACTGTTTGAGCAGAGTGAGGGAGAAATATGGGCTGTGCTGCTGGCCGGCTCAAACTCATACATGAACTACCGCCATCAGGTGAGTCCTGTATATGTCTGTAAACTTGCATCGCCATGGAGGTGCCAGAAACGGTAGCTGGTTGAGAGTATAAAACTTTCATATATCATAGCAATATCATTTCACAAGAAATATGAGTTACTACTGCAGTAATAACTAAAGGATTGTATCTTCTTTGCGAGTGCAGGCGGACGTGTGTCATGCCTATCAGATCCTGCACCAGCACGGTGTTCCTGACGACCATATCATCGTTATGATGTACGACGACATCGCCAACAGCAAGCAGTGAGTTAACTAATTCCTAAAATATTATAAACCAAAAATGAAAAAAACAAGCTAGTTACATCGCCGAGTATAGCGAGTAGTGATTACATAGTGGTTGTTAAGGATGAATCTGATGGTAGTTTTCACAGGATATTCGACGTAAAGGATGTGGCCTGATCAGCAGTCAATGTTTAGTAGTTAGTAACAAAAGTTTTATCAAACGTCTTTTCGAAATCTAAAAGATATTATTCCGTTTTAATAAAGACACGTGACCAAACACCAGGACTTTATTACGAAACGTTTCGGTCCTGCGACCGAAATTACCGTAATATTTCTTGCAGATTAGAGTAACGTCTATTTCTATTTTACTCAGTTAGTAGTCAGTCAGTAAGACAGTGTTGACGAAATTGTATTCAAGAAGACTGTATTTTTAATTGTATGGGTCATTTAGCCTGCTGTAGTGTCTCCATTCTTATGGTCTTACTTTGCATTTGTAAACAAGTCTGGCTACCACAGTATTCGTCAATTTCTTTACATTGTATGTTGCAAACTGATGTAAACAATAGTTAAAAGGTACTTAATTTTTTTTTTGTTTCTTGTTTGTGTTGCTAACTAAACAAATCCAATTAAAAATATTTAAAAAAAGTTTACTATCGAATTCAAAGTAAATTAATGAGTTTGTGCCATTCTGTGACCGGGCTGTGGTTCGTAAGTTGGACTACGCGTGGCCAGCAGTAACAGCCTAGTTGATCAGGCCCTGGTCCATCGGGAGGCCTGGTCGTAGACCGGGCCGCGGGGCGTTGATCCCCGGAATAACATCCAGGTAGACTCCAGGTAGACCAAAATAAGATAAAATAAGCGTAATTGAGGAAAATTCATTAGCTAGTCTATTCCGCCAGGAACCCGAATCCAGGCGTGATAATTAACCGTCCAAATGGCCCCAACGTGTACGATGGTGTTGTCAAGGACTATACTGGCAAGGACGTTACTCCAGAGAACTTCCTGAAGGTGCTTAACGGTGATGCTGAGGGCCTGAGCGGTGTGGGCTCTGGCAAGGTGCTGAAGAGTGGTCCCAGCGACCATGTCTTTATCAACATGGTGGACCACGGCGCCCCTGGCATCTTCGCCTTCCCCCAGAAATATCTCTACGTCCAGAACTTTACCGACACTATCCTTAGCATGCATCGCAACCAGCAGTTCAAAGAGGTAACTCCACCCTCCCCCCCTACTCACACATTTCAACTTAGCACAAACCAAAACCTGTGATATTAGCTGCAGTTCTTATAGCTTTGTGTTAAATCTGTCCACTTGTGATTAACTAAACATTATGAAGATAAAATTATGTTTACGAAAGTCTTATTCCCACAGCTGACCATATATCTGGAAGCCTGTGAGTCTGGATCTATGTTTAAGGACATCCCTGATGATATTAATGGTAAGCTCGTAAATCAAAATTTCCAAGTATCACCATAATGTGTCTCTTGGTTACTTCATTGTAGCATCGGTATAAGTGACCCGTTTTTCCGTGTTACCATCTTGTACCATTGCATTGTTTTCCTGTGTCGAATTCCTGCCCCCATTTTATTTTTAATATTTTCTTCGGATCCCATAGTCCAGCACTTAGCTTTTCTTACATTGCTATTGTTTGAGTATCAAACAATGGCGGCAAAATTTCCCTTTCAGTTTTATCATATTCACACATCAAGATAACACGTCAAGATAACAATATATGTCACTCTTATCAATCATAACATTAATAGTGATAAACACAGATAAATGATTAATAAGAGTAGCAGTTCTATCAACTGCTGTTACTTCTGCTACTACCACCATTATCACTATCATTATTACCATCGCTATTACAATCATTACCACCCTTACTAATAATACCACTATGCCCACTATTACTACCACTCCTCTTTTAAAGGGGATGGGGAGGAGTACCTTGATACTGGTAATGGGCTCTTAAGGCGATTAATTAAACCAAACTTCTCTTTCCGCTTATCAAACCTGATCACTCCCCATTCTCCAGTCACTGCATGGACCTTCACGGGTTTAGCACTTCCCAGTTAATATTAAAAGGCATATAATAATGTTAGGTATTTAATTAAACTACTATTTCTACTGTTAATTACTACTACTACCACTGTTACTACAACTGTTATTACTACTTCTATTATTACTACTTAATAACGGCTCCTGCGTTTGTGTTGACAGTGTATGGTTTATCTGCCTCCAACGCTGTTGAGTCATCTTACGCCTGTTACTTAGTTGATGAATTGCATACCTTCGTCGGTGACGTCTTCAGCGTTAAGTGGATGGAGGACACTGACAGGGTAAGAAATAGGAGGTGGGAGACTGGTTCTTGGTACTAGTTAGTGTGTGTGTGAGAGATACTGGTTGTTGATGCCAGTTGGTTGGTGAGATGTTAGTTGTTGGTGCTGAGTGGTACCGGGTGTTAGTTGGAGCGTTCTATTATGTGCTAACCTGCTCACCCATAGGAGGTAGAGAGTACAGAATACAGAGTCCTGAGGCTGGGCCCCTCCATTTTTGTTAAATAGGAGAGTTACAGTGGTCAAGAACTATTTATAAATTTACTTAACTGGGAACACTGGTAATGACCTGTTGACACAGTCATGAATTTCTCAGAGAAGAGAATAAACTTACTTCAGGGAAAAGTCAAGGTTCTCCCCGGAGCTGTTTGAATATTGTCTTCTCCTACCACCCCCTGTATTCCATATTCTATGTAGACTTTATTTAAAGACAAAATTCATTGACAAAAATACAATAAGGAGTAGAACAACATAAATAACATCTCAGAGCCTACATCTCGAATACTTCGTCCAGCTCCCCGGCGGTGGGCCTCGTGCCCAGAATGCTGCAGGCATTTCCCCACTGGGTTGCAACACTGGCTTCTCTGAAAGAGGAAACTGGCCGCTCTGTGATCCTTTCTTTCATTGTTGTTCCACTGTTTCCCTAGCTTTGTGGCTGGCTAGCTGCATCGTCTGCCATAGCTCAGTCTGTGTAGTGAACTTGAATTGAAGGGAAAATGGCACGTGTGGGTGGAGGCACATACCTTGGGTTGTTCATGGTGGGGTTGGAGAGTGGTGGAGAGCATAGGCCTAGATCTGGTTGGCAGTCTCAAGTCCTCGTGGAAGGCGGAGGAGGGAGGGGGAGGAGGAGGTAATGTGAGGAGTGAGGAGGGTGAGGGTGTAGTGGAAGAAGGGTGATGACCTGGGCAGGCAGGCCTGGCAGAGTTGCCCACAAGAAGCTGTTTTCAAAACCCAGTATTCACTGGCATAGTGAAGTACTGGTACTGAGCGAGAGTAGTGATACTACGTAGGTGTTAGATGGTGCTACGGAAAGTAACGGTAACATAAGGAACAATTTGACATTGTTGAAGGATTCCTGTAGTATTTGTTAAAATTATTGTTTTTCTTTGTCTTTGTTCCCTGCGATAACTGGGGGACACCTTCCTTACAACCCCCTGGAGGGGATAATTTGCGATTTTATATACCAAAGGGGGATATTATTTTTTATATTGTAAGTTGAGAGTGCCTCTTTTATAGGCTTCAAGTTTGACTACAGTAACGTCTGAATTTTAAAAGAGCTATGGATGAAGTTGATATTGTTAATGTTATGTCAGTTGGGTTCCAATGTTTTACTTTTATGCAGGCATGTCCATTCGCAATATGAGTGCCGATGTCCAATTAACTGATCACCTCTGGGTGAAGTCTAAGCAAAATTGCACTTCTGCAGGAGGACACCATAAATGAGACACTGCTGCAGCAGTTCCTCATAGTGAAGAAAGAGACGACAACCTCCCACGTGCTCCAGTGGGGTGAGAAGTCCCTGGATCAGGAGGTGACTGGGGCATTCTTGGGCAACAAGGCTGCCGTCGCTGACGACTTTGGTCCCTTCCTCTCTCTGAATGACCCATGCTTGGTGAGTGGTGATGAAGTCGGCAGCTACTAGTCTCTGAATAGCATGTTACAGGGGAATAGCCCAAGACCTTCTACCCTTGTCCTAATATTTCCAGTCACACTTTTCCACTAACCATATCAAAACGTGATTAATAAAAAAATACAAAACTAGACGTTATCTTTGCCATTATTAATAATTATGCAAACGTGTGATCTGATGCTTTTCGAAGACTTTTTTGCACAATAATTCCATTTATTTGACAGGTTACTTTTTTTGTTCTCAATCAGGCTTCACTTTTCACGCACTTAGTCACCTTAGTCTTGTCCATTTTTCCCCAAAGTTTAAAAAGCTCTCTTTCTCCCCGCCACCAGCAATCTTCCATCCGCAGCGAAGACGTGCCTCTGGCCATCCTGCAAAACAACGTGAACAAAGCCAATGGTCTCACTGGCGCAGACTTTTGGAAGCAACAGGTGGATGTGATGCAGCAGGTGAGTTCAGTAGTGGATGTGATACAGCAGCACTTCCTCTTAGAAGCGGTATAAACAGTAAATGTATTAAATACGAGCAGAAGACTATTAAATGCGAGCGGTAGACGAACTGCCTAGGATCGGTAGATGAGCTAAATGTAAGTGATAGATTAATTCAGTAAGAACGGTGCACAAATTGAAAGTGAACTGTAGAGTTAGACATTATATAAAAAGACATCTCTTTCATTTTAAAGCCAGGTAATGTTTTGATAATTATACGAAGTGCTTATTGCGCAGATCATTTAAGTATCTTAACTCTCTTAAACCCATGCAATATTTTCAGGCCCTCATCTCAATGAAAGTACATTGCAATGATCCTAATCTAGGCTAAGACTGATATTCTTAACGAGGTCATTTTCGCCCACAAGAACCGCACCTTCGTGAAGGAGACGATGAGGAAGATAGTGAGGGTGGTAACCGGTGATGATGCCATCACAGAACAGATGATGACCAACACACACCAGGAGATCCACGATAATGACTGCCACCAGAGCTCTGTCCGCACCTTCCATGACCTTTGCTTCAACCTTGGGCTGGTAAGATACTTCACTTCTCTTACTTTAAAAAGTACAGTTTTTATATATATATAAATATATATATATATATATATATATATATTTATATATATATATATATATATATATATATATATATATATATTATAACAAATATAGGGTGGTACCACCACTAGAACTGTAATGGCGACCCCTCATCCTCAGAGAAGAGAAAAAACGTACTTCAGGGAAAACTTAAGGTTCTCCCCGGAGCTGTTTGAATATTTTCTTTCCCCCTATATTCTATATTCTATGTGAACTTTATTTATATACAGAATACACTGACCAAAAAAAAACACAAACATGAATACATTGGTACAACATATCAAAGATTATGAATTTCTTCCAGCTCCTCCGAAGCTGGACGCGAGCCCAGTATGCAGTAAGCATTTCCCCTCTGGATGGCCACGCTAAGGCACTAGAACATGAAAATGGCTGGTGTCGATGAGTCTGGAACCCAGTTCTTTAAGGAAATGTGTAGCGTTTTTTTCCCCATGATCCCAAGATCTTTGATCCCACTGGGACAAATTGATACTGTTGGATTATGTCTCTGTACTTGTCGGTGTTGTACTCCTCTCTGTCGCCCCACACTGTGATGGATGTAGGTGTCAGCCAGTGTCGACACGCAGGTATAGTCCTATGCTAAGAGCTTACCATTCTTCCAAGGACAGATGGTGATCCCGTCGAGGCACGTTGCTGGGTTGTGAGTATTGTTGGTTGCTAATGATCAGGGCTCCCTCTAGGCTGGGCATCCAGCTGTAGCAAGGCTTCTCTTTATGATGGCTTTGACTTCATTGTGTCTTGCATATCAGCCCTTGCTTTTGGAACAGTTAAGACCATGTAGACCATATTGGTCGGCTTACACACCACCACAAATATACGTATATTCCGTGTGAATTGGGGCAGCGAGAAGGAGAGGGTCTTAGAGTCGAGGTGTGTTATGTTTGCCCAAATGGGAACTGTTTGAAGGAAGTACCCAAAGTGATGTGCTCTCACTGCTTGGAGATGGGCAGCCTGCCTGTCTGTTGTTACATCACTAAGCATGTTGGCAAGCACCTTTTCCTGACTGAAGGCCAGTGCTGACTAGATTTTGGTGCTGGAGCAGCAAGAGTCTCCCATTCGATAATGGCACTAACGTAGCTAGGGTCCTGTATTCCTTCCTAGTCACTGAGGTTGTAAGGAAGAATTTGTTTTATTAACACATTTAATACTATGTAGGAGAATAAGAAAGCTGGTAGGGCAATCTGGGAGGATCTGCGTACTCCCAGCCCCTCAAGCCTGACTGGTTGTGAGGATTGCAACCACTGTCTATCATCATGAGAAAGATTCAATACACTCTCTAGCATGGTCTTTAGGAGGGAGTTATATTCCTTGGGTTTTGGACTGCTGAAGGCTGGGGAGCATCTCAGCAAGTAGGTGTATGTGTGTGTGTGTATATATATATATATAAATATATATAATATATATATATTATAGTATATATATATATATATATATATATATTATTTTATATATATATATATATATTTGCAATAAGATCACACTAAACAGGTGATTTCAGAATATGCAAAACAACCACTGTGAAAGAATAGAGAAATTCCAAGCTGATTAAAATTAAATAGCTTAGCCCATTCTATAAACTTTACTGTTGAGTTTGAAGAAAATAACTCATTGCCTTTTCTAGATGTTTTAATTATTAAGGGTAATAATGAATTCAAATTTAAAATTTACAGAAAACCTACAAATAACTGTTCCTATGTCCACTATTATTCCTCGCATCAAGATAGAGTCAAACTGTCTGTTTTCTCATCAATGTTTTTGAGAGCTTTACGAATTTGTAGTCCTGAGTTCATAGATGAGGAAATATCCAAAATTTATGAAATAGCTAATGATTTGAAATACCCAAGAAACGTAATTGATAAATCTTTTAAAGTTGCTAGAAATACTTTTTACAATCCAAAAAGGGACAACCAGCCTTATTCAACTAAAAATATGTTGGTTCTCCCTTACCATGAAAACTTGGTTGATATGCCTTCTCTTCTTAAGATTTTTAATATTAAAGTTGTATTTAAAAATCTTCATTCAGTAAAAAAAACTTTTGATAAAGAATTCCCCCCAAAATGCTGATGGATGTGTCTATAAGATTCCTTGTAAAATTTGCGATAAAGTTTATTACGGTCAAACTGGTAAAAATCTCGAACTAAGATTAAAACAACATAAATATAGCATTAGAACTGGACAAGATTCCAATGCTCTATTTATTCATGTGAGAGATTTTAACCATTCAATTGATTTTCAAAAAGTTGAGAAAGTTGTATCAAGCAAGTCCATGGTCGACAGGAATATAATTGAATCTTGTTTCATAAAAAGCAGTTTTGACAATAATATGAATATTTCCTTTGGTTTATATAAATTAGATCCATTTATAATTAATAGAATTTGGGAAGAATTTAATAATACATTGGACAAATAATAATTTTTAAAAAACTTATTTCTTGGGTAGAATAGTTTGTTGGTGGGTTGTGTGAAGGACCTGTCTAGTTGAACCAGCGGGCCTGCTGCAGTGTTCTCTTTCTTATGAGTGGCGTGTCAGGTGTTGCTTTGTTGTGGGATCTGATAGTGAGGTGTGGGCTAGACCCTTCATATACCTTCCTTTGATGCTCTACTTTCATTGTTCCTTGATAATGTGAGTAGTCACGAAAGCGCTTGGAATTTCTCTATTCTTTCACAGTGGTTGTTTTGCATATATATATATATATATATATATATATATATATATATATATATATATATATATATATATATATATATATATATATATATATATATATATATATATATATATTATGGATGTTAATGTTTCCATGTGTTTCAGAACCCATACGCTCTGCGGGTGGTGCACGCCATGGTGAACCTGTGTGAGCACGGCTACACAGCTGACCAGTTCTCTTGCGCTGCCCGAGCGGTCTGTGACTTTGACCCCGTCACTGGCATCAACTAACCAACTCGTCAGCAACCCCAGTGGCTGAGCAGATGAATGACTGACCGTCTGCTATCCCATCACCAGCATCACATGAACAAAAGGCACAGTGTTACTTAACAAGCTTTTTTTTTTTTAGGAACACTTTTCCCTTAAGTAGAGTTTTGTCAAGTCAAGACATGATAAAGACATGTCCTGCAACGCATCTATCCAATACTACTTTCGTCTACAACATCTGGATCTGTCAAACGACGAATTCAGCAACAGCTCCAGTAGGAATAAGAGACTGTGGATAATGTACCAATTAACATGTAATATAGATCTTAAACTTGCTTGTCAGATATCTTTATAAAAATCAATAACTATTTAAAACGATGGAAACTGTGGCCTCGGGCTGGGCAGCCAGAACAGGAAAAACACGGGAAGCTGTTCACAGATCTGTTAGTTATCACCGGTACAAGCTAACCCAGGCAGAGGAAATGAAACTAAAGGGTTCCCTCTTCATTTATTATATGTCATATAGAATTCTTCAGCAGACAGTTATAGATCAATATACACAGAGCTCCTCTTACCCTTCGTTTTATTTTGTCTGTGATTAATGGCTTGTCCCATTGTTATGTCTTTGTTATACATTGCATTTAAACATATTGTTAATACTCGATAATAAAACTCTCATCATTTTTTTGGTGTTTCTTGTTACCTGCTCCTCAAGGGAGGTTCCTAGACTCTGGTGAGGGGTTCTTGATCTAGGGAATTGGATCTGTGCTCCGGTTCCCTGAATTGAGCCTAAATACCTTCCAATCTCCCTCCCCAGTACGCTGTATAATCCTAAGGTTTAGCGCTCCCCTATGATTATAATAATAATAATAATAATCTTGTTACCTGCTTAAAATCGGTGAGTGGTCACTGCGTTGATCTTGTTATATGCATGGTCTACGGTTCGAGTCGCAATCACCTGTTTAATCAATAACAATTATTTAATACGACTCGTCTCGACTTCCAGGGTCTTGAGACCAGATATACCATGAGACCTTCTGGTGCTGTAGCTTAAAACAGTAGGGCCAAATTTGGTGCTGCTGCCACAAACACGTCAGACAAGTACTGGCTGTAAATCGTCCTTTAGTAAGCCCTTAGCTGAGTAGTAACAGCATTGGGTCTGCTACATGTTCTCGTCCATTTACCTAACACATTATCGGTAGACTTACTAACAAATAATGATCTCGTCAGACACAGCAATATAATGGAAATTCAACCACCGTAAGTAGCATACTTTCTCCTTGGTGATATCCAAACCATTATACAGTTTCCTACTAGTCTGCCTAGCAGAAAATGTGATTCTAAATCTGCTCCAACACGACTCACCAGGTCCCCGTCTCTTCAAATCATTGTACACCGAGACTACTACTACGCTTGTTACTGTTTATAACCTTATCATTACTACTGTTATGTGTAACTACTACCACTACTCTGCATTTTTTGTAATGGTTTGACAAATCTCTAGGTGAACGACACTTATCTGCAGTAAATGTCTTGCTGTTTCACACGGTCCATTTTCCAACGATATTTTGTTTACGATTTTTATGCTTTTTGAAGATCGTTACTGATATTTTGCATGACATTAATTTCAGCAATTACCTCATTGCAAACCATGGAACATTTGGGTTTGAAAAATCGAGGGATTTGCTGAGTGCTGAACCCGAAACAAGTTCAGTACTCACTACAATAAAAATTCGCACCCCTTTAAATTAAAAACTGATTTAGAAATTTAAAAAAATTTAAAACTAAAATTTTAACAAAACATGAGTTCTTTAAAAATTAATATAAAATAACAAATGAAGAGTAAACTATGCCAGCTAAAGCGAACAACGGTTTATTCCCATTCATAGAAATCCCCTAAAATATCACCAAGGTCGTACAGATACCTCAGTGGTCATAAAATCCAAGTATTGATGAAGCGTATGTTTTATATTGTTAGTTGGGACTCATTCGATTATGCTGCCCAGTTTTGGTCACCGTATTACAGAATGGATGTAACTCAACGGGAAAAAACTACAGAGATGGATGTCCTCACAACATGAAGCAAGCCTAGTTTGCTAGGCTCATGTTTGTAGGATTGTATGGCCAGTGGTTTAGAGCGTCGGGAATTTTCACTCTTTCCCCGAGGCGGGCTAAAACAACACAGGTTCGATCCCCGGCTAGCCACAGTTTGTTATGATTAAATACCACTTGTTTGTGGCTTTTATATATACATTTCACACACCCCATATATATATATATATATATATATATATATATATATTATATATATATATATATATATATATATATATATATATAAAGTCCTTCCCCAAAATTTTCTCTTATACTCTTAAAGATATATTTTTTTCATTATGTTAATGAAAAAATTTTAATTTTGCTCCAAAAGAATCTTAGAAAACTTACCTAACCTTATTATAACAAGAACAATTATTTTAGCCTAACCCAACTAAATATATTTTAGATTTGTTTACAAAAATTTAATAATAAACAGCACAGTGAAAAAATATTTTTTCGTTAGGTTCAAAATAATTTTGGCGAAATTTTGCATACACAAATTTTCATTGTCCTATATGGCCAGATGAACGTTGCTATTTAAGCCAAGATCGCAGTTCTGCCTATTCGGCACGACATATTATATATATATATATATATTTTATATTATATATATTTATATATATATATATTTATATATATATATATATATATAATGTTATATATATATATATATATATATATATTATATTATATATATATATATATATATATATATATATTATATTATTATATTTATATGTCATGTCTGAGGGCAATGTGTGGTGTGAATATAATGCAAAAAGGACTTAGTAGTTTGGAAGTTAGGAGGAGGTGCGGGATTACCAAAAAATGTTGTCCAGAGGGCTGAGGAAGGGTTGTTGAGGTGGTTCGGACATGTAGAGAGAATGGAGCAAAACCGAATGACTTAAAGGTGTATGTCTGTAGTGGAAGGAAGGGGGTGGGGTCGGCTGGAAGGGTTGGGGGGAGGGGGTAAAGGAGGTTTTGGTGCGAGGGGCTTGGACTTCCAGCAGGCATGCGTGAGGTTTGATAGGGTAAATGGACAAATGGTTTTTAATTTACTTGACGTGTTTTGGAGGGTGAGCAAAGTAACATTTATGAAGGGATTCGGGGAAAACCGGCAGGCGGATTTGAGTTCTGGAGTGGGAAGTACAGTGCCTGCATCTGGGGGGGTGTTAATGTTGCAGTTTAAAAATGTAGTGTAAAGCACCCTTCTGGCAAGACAGTTGGAGTGAATGATGGGGGTTTTTTCTTTTGGGCCACCTGCCTTGGTGGGAATGGGCCCCCCCCGGGGTGAAAATAAAAAAAATAAAAATAATATACTATAAAAAATTTAATATTTTTATATATATATATATTATATATATATATATTTTATTATATAAAAATATATATATATATATATAATATATATTATAATTATATATATATATTATGTATATAAAATTGGGGAGGTACCCCTCTGAACTTCATGGGGCCCTCATCCTAGAGAAAAAAATAAATTTGTTCGGGAAAAACCCTTTGGTTTTCCTGAAGTTTTTGGAAAATTTTCTCTCCACCCCCTATATTTCAAGATGTTTTATTTAAAGCAAAATACTTTGGGCCCAAACATTCCAAAAATACAACGAAAGCAGACAACATAGGAAATCAGAGCTACATCTCAAATCTTCGTCCAACCCCCCCCCCCCCTGCGGGGGCCGCGTGCCAGAACTGCAGGCATTTTTCCTTGGATCGCAACACTGAGCTCTGTAAGAGAAAGTGGTCCCCCTTGGGGTCCTTGGTTTTATGATGAGTTTTTCACCAGTTTTTGGGGAAAACTTTAGAGACACTTCCCCATGCTCCAATGGTCAGCCCCTATTGGAAGAATTATAGCAAAGGGAAGGCTTATTTTCGGTCTTCTGGGTCCCCTGGGTGGCGGCTCCCCCCCTTCCCTACGGAGTATGGCATAGGTGTCTCCAATGGGGCAGCACGGTGTAGTCCCAGGCAATCTCTTTCCCATCCTTCCAGGGTGCTAGTGGCTCCATCAGGATGTTTTGATTTCCATCAGACCTCTGTATTTGGGGTTTCCCCGTTCAGCTGGGAAAGGGCTGTGGCGAGGTTTCTTTATGATGTCATTGCCTCCTCATTTTGGGAAAAAATTTCCCTTCTGCTGTGGACACAAAAGCCCATAAAAGTCCGAATTGATCGTGTCGCCTGCCGCAAAAACACCTAGTTCAGTGAGGGGGGGGCGGCTAGGCAAAGGCAACCCAATCCGAATGGCCTGTGGGTCGAGAGGGTTTTCCCCGGGGGAAATTTGGGAAACAGCTAACAGGAAATTCCTGAGTGTGGTCCCTTCACTGTCAGGAGACGAGCTTTGTCCTTGCCTGAAGATTGGGAGAAATGTGTTGGCGATTTTTTCAGATCGTTTTCCAGGGGATTTTTGTGATTTGGAGGAGCGGGTTACTGGAGGGGGTCTGAAAGGGTGCCCCACCGAATCGCTGCTTCAGAAAACCCGGGGGGTCTTGGCTTCCCCACCCCCTCAGCTTGGGTACTATCTTTTTGACTAATGCCCGGAAACCCAAACACGAAGACAGAAAGCAGGTAAAGCAACATGCTTGCTTTACGCACCCCAATTTCCCCCAGTCGCACTGGGGGGGTTGCCTGACCCTTGCTATCCCCTGTGACAGGTTCGTGCCCTTTTTAAAAGTTATCTCGGTGTGGTCTATTCATCGAGTGTTGGGTTTTCAAAAGGGGTGCACCCTCAAGAAGTAAGTGAGTCTTGGGATGTAAGACACCTTGTGAGGGATCAGAGCTCATGGGCATCAAGATGCTTATTCTTCCTCCATTTCATCAGGTCATTCAAATTTTCCCCTGAGGACAGTGTCGATGGCCCGGTGACCCAGCGGTGCCCCAAGAGGGTACTGGGATGGAGTGGAGTTGAGATTCCGGGGGGGTTCTTCGCACAGCATTGTTTTTTCCGGTTTGCTGTGTGATTTCCCCTTGGAAAAAAAAAAAGGGGTTGAGGATGAGTCCCAAAGGGTTCTTGTGTTTTCACCAGTTTTAGGTCCCCCAGGGCTCTTTTAGTATCTGCCAGAGTTTCCGTTCCGGTACCAGATATTGAGCTCACTGCATAGGGGAAATTAGTTCTCTTTCTGCCAAGCAGAAAAGAAGTGGAGCGAGTGGGTCACCCTCTGAACACCCCTGATGATTATTTCATGTTCTCCAAACAAAAAAATTGGGTTTGCGTAGCCCGGGTGAAATGAAGGGAAAAAAAATGGGGAACCGATCCCCAAAAAACTGGAAAAACGCATCTCTCTTCACCAAATTTAAAAGGCATTTCTAAAATCAAGTTTGACTATGGCCGTCTTTGGTGGTCCGTGTAGCCCTTTCGGCATGAGCTGCGCTTCACTGGCTTGAGAGACCCAAAGCCCAGTTGGTGTGGCGGGGTGAGTGGCAGCCTCTAGGCGAATGTTTCTCACTGCTGTTTGGCAACGAGAGGAAAGGGGTTTCCCTGCAAGGGTCTGATTCCCCCCTCCCCCTTCTTCAAAAAACAATAGTGAGGCTCCAAAAAAGAAAGGTTTCATTTTTTTCTGGGATTGCCGCCCGGGGAAG